ATATGTATAAAGTAAAAGTATGAATTTGAAAACAAGCATCCCAAGAATCATAATTCGAAAGAAATAGGCTCTTTGGGAAAGATTAACAAGTTTTATTGTAAATTTTCGATCTTGGTTCCCCAAGTCTTCTTCAGACGTGAAGTAAGTGTGCAAAACAGTCAACACTTAAACATGCCGAAAAAATCGATTTTGCCTTGTATTCCTGCTGGTGTATTCTTCTGATTGGCTAACGCCTTTTCCACTTTTCCTTGAGGCTGTTGTACACCGTATCCAATTCTACGTGTCGATTGATGCATGCGTTGTCAGAATGGATGGCCTCTAAAAATTCACGGCCCTTTTTAGATGAGCAGACACCTAAAATGCGGGTCCTGTCCCAGGCGAATTTGTGTCCAGTTTCCAACGTATGCATGGCAACTTGGGACAAGTAGTCTCGCCTTTTTACGGCCAACTGATGTTCGTGTAGAGGCCGATTTCCCGGTTTGACCACAGTAAACCGCATTATAGGTGTTGCATGGTATTTTATAGACGACTTCCTTCTTATCTAAATACCCAACCCTATCCTTAGGGTGTACAAGCTGGTTACGAAGTGTAGTTGTCGGCTTGAGCGCCACATGTATCTGGTGCTTCCTCAGGTGTCTTTCAACTAGTTCGGACACATTCTTAATGTATGGAAGTTTTCGCCAGTTTTTAGATTTGGGCGCCTGATCGGAACAATCTAGTTCCTTCTCTTTTTGTTTTAACTCCTGTCGTCGCATGCATCGGTGTACAAAATATCTAGGATACCCATTCTGGGAAAACAGTTTGAACAAATAATTCAGTTCTGTTTGATATGTTTCGTTGTCAGAGTAGTGGGTTCTTGCTCGGTTAAGGAGGCTGTTCACGGCACTCCGTTTGTGAGAGATCGGGTGATTGCTCTCGTAATGCAAGAGAACTTCCGCGTAGGTTTCTTTGCGGTAAACCGAAGTGTGAAATGTCCCGTCAGGTTTTCTCTGTACGAGGACATCAAGAAAAGGGAGTTTGTTGTCAGCCTCTTTCTCGAGTGTGAATGTGATTCCTGGAAGTGTTGAGTTAATAATATTGTGGAGTATTCCCAGGTGATCACTTTTAACAATGACAAACGTGTATATTCTTCACCGTCGGTGATTTTGTTCCCCAAAGGCCGGTAAACTAGGCACGGATTTATTTGCCTGCTGACTACGCCTTCCCATAGTTTTAAACTTCCGCCGTTGATAGGATCTGCGGTCTGAAAAGCGTTTCCAATTTGGAAGGATTACTTTGGTGGAGTTGGAATACTGCTTATATTGCGAAATAATCCTATGACATTTCAGACTCGGCAGGATGTCGGCTTTTAAATGCACTTCCTTTCAGTCTCCTGTGGAAACCTTTCTCGGTAAAAAACGACTACTTAAGTAGCATGCGTTTTCACACTGACTTTTGATGGTCTTATAAATTTGAATTTTATTTTACAAAAAATATAAGCAAACATATTCATACTTTCATTCGTTTGATAGATAATCGCGTCATCTTTATGTTTTATACTCGAAGGAGTATAATTAGGTTTAAAAAACATTTTCTAATTATAAGATTTTTTAAGACCTTGCAATGTTTTCATACGGTATCGCACCTGTCCGTTTGCCACTGCTCCTCACGAAATGCACAACATAGTCCTCATCCATTGTAAAATTTTATGGACTCAATATGGCATCTTTTTAAAGGCATAGAAGAATGTATGACTTTTCTTACGCTGAATGCATGCACCTTGTAGACTGAAATCACTAGGCGCTAATGCAGCCTCTGATCAGGCTCCAAATTATTCGGGAATTGGGAAACTTGCAAAACCTAGTTATACTCCTTCTTCGAGCATAAAATATAAAGATGGCGTTATTCTCTATTAAACGAGTGGGAGAAAGAATACGTTTGGTCATGTTTTCTATAACATATATTTACATTTATAAGACCATCGGAAATCAATGTGAAAAGTGCATGCTACTTAGGTAATCATTTTTTGCTGAGCAAGGTTTCTACAGAAGATTGAAAGGAAGTGAATTTAAAAACCGACAACCAGCCAAATCAGAAATATTGTAGGATTATGCCGCACGATAATCAGAATTACAACCCCACCTAAGTAATCCTTCTAAATCGAAAAAGCATTTCAGAATTTTGGCCAGCATTTCATGAGATCGGTCACACGTCTCCTTCATACTGCATGGCTACTGTGATGAAATAAGTAAACGCGATCACCGGGACAAGAAGCTTATTCAGCTGAATTTCGGGGTTCACGCTCGACCCCAGCATCTTACGCAGCATTAGATAGGTGTTGAGAAGAAGTGCACGCTATCACTGGCCCCAGTCTATTAACAAGTGCAATGACCTTCCCCTCCCATATCCGGTGCCGAGGCTTCGTTTGGGCGAAGTAATTAGCCACTCGGAGAGCGCGCAGCCGAACGCTGTTTCCAATACTAGTGTCGGTGAGCCAGATAGTCAAGCAATCACCAAGCTAACACTCAGCACGGACGATGAAATTCCGGTGACTCGAATGCCGGCCATCAAGCAAATACCACACCAACGGGCAGCCATTTTCGATAAAGGGGGAGCAGCTGATTGTCATAGATATGCGGTGTCTGCTTATTCTCAACTGCTTCCTGGGACTCGCATTATTGTCAAAGTCCTGCCACGGCCTTGGCAATGCTATGTCTGAGTTCCTCATCATTTTTGCCGACTAACGGACCTTTACTCGGTGGCTACCTCTTCCTCCTCTTCGTTGAGGGTTTGGGTCCAGACTGTGGTTAACTTTTACGCTTAAGTCACGCTCGATTTTGTTCTCATCAACGAAACTGTAGAAAATGGGGAACCATTCATACAACTGAATCCTTCGTATGCTGTTCCATTGAAGGTGAAGAGAGGTTTCAGGCAGGAACTGAAAGGGTCAGGCAGGAGCCAAATTGACTCAGGTGGTTTTTAATCCCGGATGTTATAAAATGGGACGAACGTTACGTCATCCTGGCACCAGACTCTACGGCTATACCGATTGTGAACATTCCTCCCAGAGTGAGTGGAGTTCCAAAGTCGTGGTCTCGAAGCAATCCTTGGCTATTCTAGGCGCTGGCGTTTCATGAGAAGTGACGGGGCATAGGGATATCCGAATGGCCACTTCGGACTTGCTCTATCTCGTCAGTCGTCCGCGCCCAAACTACTTAACCATTTGACAAACACTCCTATGGTTGCTGGTCGCCAGTCGCTGCGCGACCGTTAGTGTGGGCTCTAGACCAGAGCTACAGTGTAAAGCACGACCATCCGCGTCCCATCCCGTAGTCAGAGTACATCAGTGGGACCACCTCATGCGTCGTTGGGATCTATCTTGGGGAGGCTGCAGCGGTGTCCATGGTTCCCGGAGTCTTCGGAGTGTCGTAAAATCTCACGATATTGGCGTCCTACAGTTGCAATTTCTCCTCCAATCTCTCATTTCGATCACGTTCACTACAACCTTGGAGCTTTTTTTGACGGCCCTCGCCAACACTTCCTTTGAGTCATGTCCACGGGGAAATGCGCAGCAAGCCACACCTCCCAA